GGAAGAACTAAGAAAAGGTGGCGAAAGCTTTAGATGTAAATCTTTTGGCTGTAACCTAGAATTATCTGACACGATATATGGTAATTCCGTCATTGAAAACAAAGGCGGAAATTTTCTTAGTGCTGTAAAAGTAAGGTAGAACATAAATTCAAGAAATATTGTGCTCAATAAATATGCGTCACTGAAAACAATAGATCAGAGATATTCTCATGTATCCCGCACTAAATTGATTCAGAATGGAGATTCATGCTATGTTATGTTGTAGAAACAGAAATTGTATGCCATCTCACAGTATGCAACTCCAAAACTGATAAATAAATGAAACGTGACTATTTCAGAGAACTAGTAATCATCTCACTTTTTCAAAATCAAGCCACTTCATTGCTAGAAATAGCTTATGTAAAAACAACTTAAACTTTTTGTGAGCAAATATCTGAAAAATAACTTAAAGTTAGTAATTCATAAGCATATCAAGCATACCAGTCCGTTTCTGACAACAGTTCATGACAATAAGCAATCTCATCGGCTATAATCTTGGCATTAATTTCACTTGTTTTTGGTTTGTTCTCCTTAGTGATTCTTAGCTGATTAAATGAGTTGATCAAGCCCAAATCCTTAAAGTGCAATCCATATGGTTTCACTAGTGACGGTGGAACAGCATCGATATCCCCACTAACTGCTAAATATCTCAACTGCACCAATACCTCTATTCCAGTGGGAAAGGTGACGCCCATATTGATACATTCAAAATCTGACACCCTAAGAAGTTTGAAGTGGTAAGAACTGAACAAGATGTCGTAGAGGCATCTTGACTGCTATCCTTAGTGGCAAAGAACATCAAAGAACAAGAGTGGATTGGGCGCAAGGTCTTGACAGGAAAAATGCTTTCTTTTCAAGCCTCATATGTCACAGTATTGGAGGGAAAATGATCATCCAAATCAACACCATAAACTGAGTCATCAAACGAAGCATATGGTTTGTCATACCTAGTTATAAGCTCGAGAAAATTCTCTACCTTTGCTTTTGAAAGGCACAAATGACGAAGCAAATCATGAACATGGCATGTATTGCCCCTTCCATTAGATCTCCTTTTTGAATCATACTAGGATGCAATCAAGTAGATCCATTAAGCAATCCTCTGCAGCATCGTCTGAGCACTTCAACTCAGTCATTTGTACAAAACACTCAGCAACCCATAACCATGTCAACTTGCTAATCAGAATATCTTTGTCTTCCTGAAATGCACCCAGATAGAGAAAGCATGTTCATAAGTGTGCTGGCAGGTGATGGTAGCTCAACTGCAATATCTCCTTGCACCAAGACACTGGATTTTCAACAACCAGCGAGCTTAAATTGTCTGCAACTTCCTTCCACTTGTTCTGTTGCTTTTCTGTTTTTTTGAGGATACCAGGTATTGCAATAATTGCAAGTGGTAGTCCTTTACAATTTTCAGCAATTTTCTTCCCAAATCCCAACAGTTCATCAGGACAATTCCTATCAGGAAATGTTCTCATCTGCCACAGTTTCCAACTTTCTCATGAGACAGTATAAGAGAATGAGGGACAGTATCAAATTCAGCTATTGCAGCCAAGTCATGGAGACGACTCATAATCAAAATTCTACATCCATGTCCATCTTCTGGTAATGAACCTTCCAAGTCCATCAACACAGCAATATTCCAGACATCATCCATAAGTTTGGTTCGCCATATTGGCCGATATTGATACGTATCGGCCAAGTTGTAACTGGAACGGAGGGGACCGGTACGATACCATTCCCGAATCGGGGATATTATCATATCCGCGACGACTCACTCTGACTCGGCCGATATTGACCAATTTGAATCCGTGATGCATGATATCGGCCGATATATCCTAGTCAACTCGGATATTTTTCAAATTGTGCCTTTTTTGGTATTTTTTAATTTTAGTAATTTTTTCAAAATTTTTGAAAACTTTCATGTGTTATAATATGCGTATTACCCGATATTCAACCGATATGCCGCGACGGTTGTGGAACAACCGAGACGGCGACGCGACCGCTACCCGCTATGGCGAACCGTGTCCATAACTATGAGATATGCACCACGCTTCAACTGCTGATATAGCTGTAATGCTAAGTCCTCATCATCCATTTGACAAATATTATCACTAGGCACTCTAATGTTGCTCAAAATTTTAAGCAACAATTCCCTCTTTTTATATTCTTGGAAGACTGAGCACCAACCATGAGCATGAAAGTGATTTGCAACTCTAGGATGATTGTATAAATTCTTAGCGAGAGTTGTCTTTCCCATCCCTGTCATGCCAACAATGGAAACAATATCAAGTCGTGAAGATCCTCAAGTAAGTCATTTAATTATAAACAATCCTTGATCAACTTATAGCCTGCTCGTATTTGGCAGATTACGGCTTGAAGCGTTGGCAGCAGTCTGAACTGGTCTACTCCTCACCAATTTTGGTGGCCTGGATCTTAACAAGTCTAATATCTTCTTCTAGGAGGTAATAAAAACATAAGAAATATCGCCAATTAGAAGCTCTCCCAACCTCAATGCAGTCGATTGTATATTCCACCTTATATGCGATATCTATAACAGCTTCAACAACGTTCTTCAATTTTGGATGCTCAGTATCCAGCTCCACAAGCAAAGATCTTAAAAGTTCTTAGTTCTAACAAAATCTGATTGATGTAATGCGTCATTGGTGCCACTGACTCAGGTTTACGATTCAGCAGCTTCTCCATGTTTCCCAAGAGGAAAGCAAGGAAGCCCATCAAACCTCTCAGAAATTTAATAACGTACAAAATGGAAGACAAGTAATTATTTACACTTATAATTGATAAACAACCAAAAAATATATGATCCTGATACTTAAGAGAATGAACACTGATCCTAGTCCTATGATCCATCCAAACGTGACAATGTGGCATGAGACTCAAGGGAATGAATACTGATATTAATCCTACACTGTACAATATATCCATCCTTGAAGCTTGAAACTTCAACTATAGCTAGTGAAAACGTTTAATTTGGTACAACTTTAAGAAAATGCAAAAGTACTCAAGCTGCATTCATGGAAGACAATTTCTGGTTTTCAATTTAAGCTGCACAAGTTTTACCATTTTCCAACAGCTTGTGCTCTTGCTAATGGTGCATCACATTGGCTTGCAGAGGAAGATGATGGTTTCAACTTTCAACTGTATCATTGCCTTTGATATTTCCAGTGAAGAATTCGAGAACTTGCCCCACTAATGGGGAAGGTAATTTTTCAGCAAAATTGTTGCCTTTCTTTACTTTATTGTTATATTTCAAGTGAAAGATATCATGTCAATTTATGGATCATGGATGAATTAATATGAAGTGGACAGAACTTGGACTAAGTTAAAATCTCATTTGAAATTCCCGACATATATATGCTCAAACCGATCATATATATGCTCAAACCAAAGCAGGTAACTGCTTTTGCAGATTGATGGAACAGAAACGCTTGTGCTCTATGATCTTGGAACCGGATACTTTAGAGACGTAGCCACTGCAAATGGTGCAGCTAGTTTCGTTAGATGTGAGTCTATTGATCACTGGCATGAAAATGCCTTCTTGCATGTCTTCATGTACCAATTTCGAACTTGTGTAGCACTACATTTATCTCTTCTGGTTGCCATTCTCTGTTCTTAACCAAAAGCTCATTTCTCCAATTTCTTATTCAAATTTAATTACAATTGAAGATGTCCGTTTGTTGTGAGTGCAATCATCCTAATCCAGAACCCTCTATCAGTTAGAAGTTGAAGCTGCAAGCCATTTCACTTTATCCATTTGCCATCTTGCACAGGGATTAAATTCATGCTGAGTACGTTCATACTTTCTGTACTAATGGCAGAAAATACATCAAATAAACATGGCACAGATACGTGTAGATCTGAAATCAATAAATATAACAGGTCTAAAAAAACAATACAAATAACGATAAATATTGATGCTCCTATATATCTTCCATCCGGATGAATCACTATAACCCAAATACATCAGTGTATGTCTGTTGACAATCAGATCTGATTAAAACTAGTTCAAGTCCAAAGTAAGTCCATACCTAAAATACATAACTTAGATGTTGTAAACTCTTGTTTTTTTTTGCAAACAACATCACATTCATTGTCACCAACTCATTTTTAGATAACAAACAAACTGAAAAAAAAGACAAGGAAAGAGGCTAAAACTAACTTGGAGAAATTAAAGGAAGCAAAATTGCATGTTGAATTAGTGGGATACAGAAAAGCAAAGGATGAAGGAAAGCAAATGCATAAATCACTTGTACACAGCCTAATTTTACATAACAGACAGTCTGTGTATAAACATGACATTTGGGAAATTGTTTACAGTTTTTCCGTATAATATTTTTGTGTGTATAACACAAGAATAGCACATGACATTTGTGTGTGTATAATGTCATTAAACATGACATTTGTGTGTGTAATTAAATGAAGAGGTGGTCAAATTTTTGGCCCACTAATTTATCCTTTGGCTCAGAATATTTTTCTTTTGAATATTAACGGTTTTAATAGTTTTTTTTTTTTGTCAAATGTCAACTTCTATATATTTAACGGTTTTAATAGTTAAGTAACCAAAACTTTAGAATAATAGTGGTTGAGTTGCCTTCTAAGTGCTCTATGTATGTAGTCAGTTATTGCTAGAGAAGTATAACAGTTGTTGGTTGTTGCTAGCTAGCATGTAATTAGCATCCCATTGTTTTGTACATCCACATGTCAGGTTTGCAAGAAGATAGAGTGCAATATAATTGACATTTTTGAGCCAATCAAACCAAAATACCTATTTCATAATAAATAAAATTAGAGCACAGTGATAAATAGGATCGTATTGACAGAGATTGGGATGATTTATTTCTTCCAAAGCAATGAATAGAAAGGGGAGATTTTGGAGATTAAACCAACTGATTAATTTAAACACATACAAAAATTAAGTAAAATTAAATTAATAATAATGAATCTCTAGCCAAAGGAATAATTTCCAAAATGATTCGTACAATTTTCAGACGGCTTTCATTACAATTTTCACAACAAAGCATAAGAATTAGACACGAACAAACCACCTTGGCTGTGCCAGTTTAGCATCAAACTATATTTACAGCCCTTGACCATTTCAGATCTATATCAAATGGCACAAGACAGAAATTTTGACAGCATTGAGCATCAACTTCTTATATAGACAATGACTATCAGGCTATCTTCCAGATAACTTTCCTTTCCACTGCCCATTACCGACCCACCCCCCCACAAACAAACAAAAAAAACCGGCAAAAGATGAGAGAGAGTGAACAAGTAGATGCTGCACAAACATCTTTCATAGCCAGTCCTAGAAGAGCAGAAGTTACGTGGATAATGCACAACTAGTACCGGCAACTTATAATCAATGATGTAGTTCGCCTTCTGAAGTGTTAGAAAACGACTTGTACAACAAACTTATCAACGCACCAAAGCAGAATCATGGTAGAGGCATCATGGCATCATTAAACGTTAGTTTCACTTTCAGGCATCATTTGTCATAGCCATTTGCTGAGAGGTAGAGACCACTTTCCTGAGCTCACCCGTCCCATTCCAACAAGTATATATTAATGGATACTTCATCAAGATATTCATCCAGTTGGTAGTATTCCTGCTTTTTGCTCATTTCCATTTTGCTCTAGCTGCCAGTTGATCTACGAGCCAGAAGTTGGGATATTTTTCTCGTCCATCTATTTCATTGTATTTTTTTCCCTTCTTGAAAGATCTTCTCTTCCCACTTTGATCAGCAACCAACAAATATTGGACCTGGAAAAATTTGAAGTGTTGATACTGCTTATTCTTTCAAAAATGCAACAGAATCGCTCCTAGGATAAATCACAACAGAGGTGCTTAAATTAAAGTGCAGTGATTAAATCAAAATGCTGCTTACATGATTTCAACAGATGTGCCCAAGCCAAAGAAACTGATTCTAAATTAGAATCATATTGATAGATTTGAGCCACCTGTTGAAGATGCAGCTTATCAACTAATTGCAAATGGGACGTCAGAATGCATGCTAAGTCGGATGAAGAACATAGTAACAGTCTATATACTTAAAATTTTCTGGTACAACATCCTTTCATCTAGCTTGAAATTCCTCCAACCCCAGGAACTTTCAGCATCTTTTCGGTTAATCAGTGAGATGGGAAAACAACAATCCATGAAAAATATCTTCAAGCAAATTATTATTAAAGATTAAGTACACAGAAAATAGTACCTGTTAGAACCAGATTCTCATGTTTGCCAAGCTGTCATTAACTATATACACATATTCTACCCAACAAGGTTGCAAAAGCAAACAGCATTCTTTGCATTAAAAAAAAGGAATAAAGAAAGTCTCAGGTCATTCAGCTATTTACTTCAAGAAAAGAACCTACTCTGCATTACTTAAGCTGAAATGTATAAAAGAAATAAAAATGTGTACCTGACATTTATGCGTTGGTCAGCTGGTTTTGAGGATCATACCAATCTGTAGCCAGATTGAAGAGGATTTTAGAAATTAGATAGTTTTGATTTCATAAACACATGACCATTCAAACCAAAGAATTGAAAACCTCCAGAAGTTGGTTTGTGAAATATGAATGATTATATCATTCAACTGATCCAACATATACAATTAGTCCTATGGGAGTGGATCTAACCTCATGAGTGGAATTCTTCTCTTCTTTGACTCCTTTTCTGAGTAGATCTAATAATAACGCTCTTTAAGTCCTTGTTTCCCCATTCTCTCTGTTCTTCCAGAATTCGCTCCACAGAATTTACAGCAGACTCACTACACCATTTCACCTCAATCGTTTTAAGAGTGAGGCTTTCCCCTAAACAAGGAGGGACCTCTTCCAGCTCCTCACAAAACTCCAAAACCAATTTCTCAAGACAGGAAAAATTATCAGAAGAGGCAGTCCACCTACGAATGTACAACCCTGACAGTTTCAAAAATCGGAGGTTACAGAATTCCCCTTCTTCCATCTCCCATTCTTCCTCCCGAACGGAACGATGGCATAATTTGAGCACTACAAGGTTGGGCAGATTTTTTCCAATTGCTGAAATTTTTCCCCACGGCCAATAATTATACGAGAGAGTCAACTTTTTCAAATTCAAATTCAATGAGAATTCAAACTCATCTCCGCTAATCCTGCTTATCTTAAGTGATTCTAGTCGACTCATGTAGTTCAGCACGAGAATCTCCTTGCGATTTCCACCAGATCTGAGTGCTTGGTAACTTTCGTATGTCATCCTTTGGATTCCATATGTTATTGTTAGCCTGCGGGTGCTCTGTAACTTTGATAGTATCTTTTGTGCATTTTGAGAAGAGCGATGGATTGCAAGGCTTAAAGTGTCTAAATGTTTTAAATCAGGGGAGCCTTCAAGATTGTCCATGGGAAATATGAAACCACAGTCGGACAATGATGTGACAAGATACCTCAATGTTTCAATGCTCCAGATAGTGTTTGGCAACAGATAATTTCCACGGCGTGCTTCTACTACAAAAGTTTCTAACCTTGAGAGGTTGGCTATTGCAGATGGGATATCCCCAACAAAACGTCCAATTCTCAAGTACCTCAAGTGAATAAGGAATACTACTTCCCTTGGAAAAGATGAAATCCAATAAGGAGTGTTCCAGAAATCCAGCACTCTAAGAAGTTTAGACAGCAGAAATTTGGATGAATTCTTATCCAGCTGTGTATAACTATCACCACAGAAGAGCAAAGAACGCAAATTGGGAAAAAACAGCCTTGATTTTGTAAGCCCCATAGTCATGGTAGGGTGAATAGACAATCGATGGGGCTTGCATGGTCCGGTAAAAGTTAAAAGGTTATCCACATGTAAAATCTGTAGAAAACTTTCTTCTTCAGCTTTCGCCACGCAAAACTCATGTACCAAATCATGGATTCGGCAAGCTTTGATCCCACCTAAAGATCTTTGTTGGGCAGCCATAACTAAACTTCTCCCAATCAGATCCATCAAATATTCATCTGCCACATCCTCTAAACTCTTTCCTTCAGTCTTTTGCACGAATCCTGAAATGGACACTCTTAATATGCTGAGTGCTCAAATGAATAATGTGATGAAATTGCTAAGTAGACAAGGTCCAAGCTCATCTAATGCACATGTAGCATGCTGTTCTGTATGTGGAGGTGAACATGATACTAATGAGTGTGTTGATTCTGAACAGGTACAATTCGTCAATAATTACAATCGTAATGCTCAAAATAACCCCTACTCGAATACTTACAATCCGGGGTGGAGAAATCATCCAAACTTTGGATGGAAGGATCAAGGAAATCAACCAAGGCCAACCAATCCACCGGGATTTCAATCAAGGCAACAACAAGCTGAAACTAAATCTGGTTGGGAGATGGCAGTGGAAAAGCTTGCAAAAGTTACCTCGGACAGATTTGAGCGAGTAGAAGGAAGGTTGGACCAACTCACTACAATGTACAGGAATGTAGAGGTCCAAATTGGTCAAATTGCTAGTTCTTTGAATAATCGAAATCAAGGAGAATTACCTAGCAAAACAGAGGTCAATCCTAAGGAGCATGTGAAAGCCATTACTCTTCGTAGTGGTAGACAATTAGAAGATCCTCCAGTGAAGGAAGTTGAGAAGGATGAGAATGAAAAACAAGAAGAAAAGCAGAGGAACCAAGAGGCGATTGTGGAGGAAAATAGTCGGGAGAATCCAAGAGAAAAGCAACCATCATCTTCCACTACCATTCCAATACCCCCTGCGGTTCCATTCCACAAAGATTAAAGCAAAATAAGTTTGATAAAGATTTTGAAAAATTTGTTAAACTTTTCAAACAATTGCACATTAACATTCCTTTTGCCGATGCTATTTTGCAGATTCCGTCTTATGCGAAATTTCTCAAGGAAATCATGACTAGAAAAAGAAAGTTGGAAGACTGCGAAACAATAGCATTAACGGAGGAATGTAGTGCAATTATTCAAAATAAGCTACCACCGAAGTTGAAGGATCCAGGGAGTTTTTCTATACCTTGCACCATAGGTAACGTTGATTTTTCTAAAGCATTGTGTGATCTTGGTGCTAGTGTATCATTAATACCTTTAACGGTGGCTAGACAATTGGGTTTGCATGAGCTTAAACGCACAAATATTACTTTGCAACTAGCGGATCGGTCTATTAGATATCCAGTGGGAGTGTTGGAGAATGTATTGATAAAAGTTCAAAAATTTATCATTCCAGTGGATTTTGTGGTATTAGATATGGAAGAAGATATATCTATGCCAATTATTCTAGGTAGACCATTTCTAGCTACTGCAGGTACTATTATTGATGTAAAAAATGGCAAGCTTAAGTTTCAAGTAGGTGAAGAAGAAGTAGAATTTAATTTGAATGAAATGGAAAAATACCCTTCTTTTACCGATCATGCTTATTCTATTGGCACAATTGATAAACTAACCCAAGAGATGAGTCAAGTCAACCTTGACTTAGATCCTCTTGAGCATTGTTTAATGAGTTTAGGTAAGCAAGAAGATGTTTGTGAAGAAATTGAAGAATTGGCCAAGTACTTGGATTTTCAAGCACCTTATAAAAGGGGTAATTTGTATGAAAGTCTTGGCCAAGGAAAAGGGTTTTCACAACCTTCAGAAATTGAACCTCCAAGGTTAGAGCTCAAGCCACTTCCGACTCATCTAAGGTATGAATTTCTTGGAGAAAATAAAACTTTACCTGTAATTGTTAGTGCTGACCTTGATGATGAACAGTGTGCAAAGTTGCTAAGAGTTCTAAGAAGGTGTAAGAAGGCAATTGGATGGACAATTTCAGACATTAAAGGTATAAGTCCTTCTATATGCATGCATCGAATTTTATTGGAGGACAATTGCAAACCAGTGGTGGAAACACAAAGAAGACTCAATCCAAACATGAAAGAGGTGGTAAGAAATGAAATTCTTAAATGGCTTGACGCAGGTATAGTTTTTCCTATCTCCGATAGTGTTTGGATTAGTCCAATTCATGTGGTACCAAAGAAGGGTGGAATGACTACAATCGTGGGTAAAAATGATGAATTAATTCCATCTAGACTTGTGGTAGGGTGGAGAGTGTGTATTGATTATCGTAAGTTAAATACGGTAACAAGAAAAGATCATTTTCCCCTACCATTTCTTGATCAATTATTGGAGCGAATAGCTGGATATGAATTTTACTGTTTTCTTGATGGTTTTTCAGGATATAATCAAATAGCTATAGCTCCAGAGGATCAAGAAAAGACCACATTTACATGTCCTTATGGCACTTTTGCCTTTAGAAGAATGCCATTTGGTTTATGCAATGCTCCTGCAACTTTTCAACGATGCATGATGGCTATTTTTTCTGATTATATTGAGAAAATTATGGAGATATTTATGGATGATTTTTCTGTGTATGGTTCATCTTTTGATCAGTGTCTTCATAATTTGGAATTAATTTTGCAGAGATGCGAGGAAACAAATCTTGTACTGAATTGGGAGAAATGTCATTTTATGGTAAAAGAAGGAATTGTCTTAGGACACAAGATTTCCTCCAAGGGAATTGAGGTGGATCAAGCCAAAATAGAAGTCATCGAAAAATTGCCACCCCCAAGCAATGTCAAGGGGATAAGGAGTTTTTTAGGACATGCTGGCTTTTATAGACGTTTTATTAAAGATTTTTCTAAAATAGTAAAGCCATTATGTGATTTATTATGTAAAGATTCTCCTTTTCAATTTGATGACAATTGTTTGGTTGCATTTGAAAGGTTGAAGAAGGAATTGATTTCGCCCCAATTATAACTTCACAGATTGGTCAATACCATTTGAATTGATGTGTGATGCAAGTGATTATGCAGTTGGAGCAGTTTTGGGACAAAAGAAAGAAGGACGATTGCACGTCATTTACTATGCTAGCAAGTTGCTAAATGAGGCTCAACTCAATTATGCAACGACAGAAAAAGAGCTATTGGCAGTGATATTTGCTTTGGACAAATTTAGATCCTATTTAGTAGGATCTAAAGTCATTATATATACGGACCATTCAGCTCTTAAATATTTGCTGCATAAGAAGGATGCAAAACCTAGACTAATTCGGTGGATTCTTTTATTGCAGGAATTTGATGTGGAGATAAAAGACAAAAAGGGATCGGAGAATCTAGTTGCAGATCATTTATCACGTTTGGAATATATCCCAATCAAAGATCAGGTTCCAATTCAAGAGAATTTTCCGGATGAGTTTGTCCTAGCACTTAGAAATTCTCCATGGTATGCAGATTTTGCTAACTACTTGGTCAGTGGAGAGATTCAAAAGGGATTTAATTATCATCAAAAGAAGAAATTCTTACATGACGTAAAAAGTTACTTTTGGGAGGAACCATTGCTATACAGACATTGTGCCGATGGTATGATACGTAGATGTATTCCTGAAGATGAGGTACATAATGTTTTATATCATTGTCATAACCTTGAAACAGGTGGTCATTTCAGTACTTCAAAGACTGTGGCAAAGGTATGGCAATCAGGATTTTATTGGCCAACTATGTACCAAGATGCTAGGGAATATGTTAAAAATTGTGATGCATGCCAAAGAACTGGAAATATATCTCGAAAGAATGAAATGCCCCTGACTACGTTCTTGGAAGTTGAGTTATTTGATGTATGGGGTATTGATTTTATGGGACCATTTCCTAGTTCTTTTAATAATAAGTACATCTTAGTAGCAGTGGATTATGTTTCTAAATGGGTTGAAGCAATCGCTTCACCTACTAATGACTCTAAAATTGTACTTAGATTCCTTAAAAAGAATATTTTCAGTAGATTTGGTATACCCAAGGCCATAGTAAGTGATGAAGGGAAACATTTTTGTAACAGACAATTGGATTCCTTATTGTTTAAATATGGTTGTAGGCACAAGACATCACTTCCATATCATCCTCAAGCCAATGGACAAGCAGAGCTAGCTAATAGAGAGATAAAGCTCATTTTGGAGAAAACTGTGAATAAATCACGCAAGAATTGGGCTACAAAGCTAGATGATACACTATGGGCTTACCGAACGGCATTTAAGACACCCCTAGGGATGTCACCGTATCGTTTAGTCTATGGGAAAGCTTGTCACCTACCTGTGGAGATTGAGCACAAAGCTTATTGGGCAATTAAATCTATTAACATGGATTGTAATTTTGCAGGAGAAAAGCGATTACTTGAGCTAAGTGAATTGGAGGAACACCGACTACATGCATATGAAAATGCCAAAATTTATAAAGAAAAGATCAAATATTGGCATGACAAGCATATTATTCCTAAAAAATTTCTGGTAGGGCAAAAGGTACTCTTGTTCAATTCACGCCTGAGGTTATTTCCAGGAAAATTGAAGTCAAGGTGGTCGGGACCATTTGAAGTAACTCAAGTATTTCCTTATGGAGCAGTGGAAATAAAAGGAGAAAATGGTTCTCCATTTAAAGTAAATGGGCAAAGATTGAAGCCCTATTTGGCCGGAGAAAAGGTTCCTAAAGGAGTAAATTACTCCTTAGGAAATGCAATGGAGAATTAAAGAAGTTATAGGAAAGTCGAGCCAACGACTATAAACAAAAGCGCTTGTTGGGAGGCAACCTAATAATAATAATGTATTTGTGTGTTTTTATGTGTTTCTTACATTTTGGTGTAAGTTAATTGACTAATTAGATGTATTTCACTTGTTTATAGGAGATACGGGAGTTTTATCATCCATCTTGGAGGTGCACTTGAAGATCATGTTGGCAGGGAGTTTTCTTACCAAATTGTGTTTTAAGTGTTTAAAATTTCTATGCCTATACATACATTGTGCATTTCAAGTGAGTTTTGGTGATATCATGGTTATAAAGGTTCATGGATTCATTTGATGTGTATTTAATGCTCAGAAATGCCATTTTGATGTAAAAATGCAAAAATGATCAAAGAACCTCACCCCTCGATTTTCAATGTAAATGTGTTTGTTGTGTTTTGAGAGGATGGATATTGTGTTTAAGGTATATTGCATGTGCGTGGGAGGTTAGAATTGATAAAAG